TTTTTTTTTTTTTTTTTTTTGGTTCTTTTTAATGAAAATGTGTAAAATGCATGTAAATATTTAGGTGGCAAAGAATTAAAGAAAATAGCTATGTATATATTATATGAGAAATGCTACAGTCTCGTTACAGAATCATTCTGTCAGGATTTGCAACCGTTAGATCATTATGTTACCGTCAGGAATAGTTGATCTAACGATTAAAGACCCCGACAGAATAATTCCACAACGGGACCGTAACATCTCCCTAAAATAATAATCCAAGATGTTTGTATGTCTTCAAAGGCAAAAATTCAATTTTGGTCCGCTAACTTGTCCATTGTCCACTTTTGGTCCACTAACTTGCCCTTCATAAAAAATGGTCCATTATGTTACATTTTTCATCAGTTTTAGTACACTACTCCAGTTGGCGAGATTACGAGATGACGTGGACTGGGATTGGAGCTACGTGGAGGGATAAGATGTTGACGTGGTAGGATAAAAAATTGATTTGGCATCTCGTAATCCCGGGCCACGGTATTAGCGTACTAAAACTGATGAAGAGTGTAACATAATGGACCTTTTTTGATGAGGGACAAGTTAGTGTATCAAAAATGGACAATGAACAAATTAGCGGACCAAAATTGAATTTTTACCTGTCTTCAAATCCCCAACCACCACCATTCTTCTCCACCCCTCAATTTCATTCCAATTCCATTCCCAACGGACGTACGTATCCAAGTAAAAGCCGATGGCCCTAACCCATCTCCTCTTCTCCTCTCCTTCAACTTTCCCCGCCATTGTCAAACAACAATCCCTTTACCCACTCCCATCTCCCAATCACAAGCTCACGCGCTTGCCATCCCTGCCCTCGACAAAACCCACAATTACCAGGAAGTCCCTCCTCGCCCCCAAATCCAAGGGCGACGACTCCGCCGACGCCCCCGACCGGATAATCTCGGCCGTCACTTACTTCTACCCCTTCTTCGACGGCGTCCAGTACGGGAAATACGTTATCACTCAGTTCTCCCCGCTCCAGGCCCTCGTCCAGCCGTTGTTCCCCGCCATTAAAGTCTTCAAGAGCTTCCCCTTGAATGGCCTTCTGGTCTTCTTCACTCTTTACTTCGTGGTCGTGCGGAATCCCAACTTCAGCAGGTACGTCAGGTTCAACACGATGCAGGCTATAGTACTTGATGTGCTCTTGATTTTTCCTGATCTTTTGGAGAGGGGTTTTGATCCCAAGGACGGGATGGGTTTGGATTTGATGATGAGCTTTGATAGCACTGTGTTTCTGTTCCTCTTGGTTAGCTTGATTTATGGCTCGGCTTCTTGTTTGCTTGGACATGTTCCTAGATTGCCCCTCGTAGCCGAGGCTGCCGATAGGCAAGTCCTTTGATCACTGAAACACAACAGTTATAATAATCTTTTTGGAAGTTTTTTTTTGTTCTCCAGATAGTTTTTATGCTGTTCCCAATTCCCATTAGTGTGGGGATTTATATTTCGATAGAAGAAAGTTCACATAAAATTGTTAATTTTATGTGATGTTATCTTGTTAACAATGAAGAATGCAGTATTACTGCAAAATAGTATCCTAACATACAATCATATGCGGAAACACACAAGGATGTATGGGAGGTTGCATATTGTGGATTTTTTTATTCCTTTTTTTTGGAACGATAGGGAAAGCTATATATAACAACTCGGAACCGCGAACAACGTTTGAATACAACTGGAACCCCGACCCAACACAGATTGAAAAATCAAACTGAGAGACACGCACAAAGGCGGTCTAGACACACCACAAACATAGCCAAGGTAGGATAGACTGAAACCCTTGGTCTACTGCACACACACTAAATCACTACAACCACAAATTGGCTACCACTGTCTTAAGGACCTAGTCGCCATAAAAATACCTACACCAAGGAACAAGCCGCACAACCGAAACTGCACCTAACCAAGAAAGAGAAAAGGAAACTCCAACACGAGCCCAAACACCAAGAAAAAACAGCAAATCAATGCCCGCTGAAATGAATTCCCTCGATTCTTTCATTGCACAACTAATCACCACCCTGTCTGGTATCATCTCCTTTTGGAACAACCAATAGTTTCGAGCCTTCCATAGCCACCATAACAAGTATGTTGTGAGTTGGATTCGGGCTTCAACAACTTCTGACTTATCAATGGAGCATACCTGAGACCACCATGCTTTGAAAGAGCAACTTGCTGTAGGAATACCTTCAGTTTAATGGCCCTGTGTTCCTCATTTTCCTAGACCTGTCACATGAGAATAAAACATGTTCAATAGTTTTTGCACTTACCCCACGACTTTGGCACCATACTTCCACATCAACTCTTCTATTCCTTAGGCTCACCTTGGCTGGCAGACTGTCTGCGATACATTTCCATAGAAAGTGTTTCACTTTTTTCCTTTGACCTTTGGGTTCCAACTTCTTGTTCTAGCATTGAGATCTTGAGATGCAGTCTGTTGCTTCCTGGACAGTCCAAGCTTTGTACTTTCTGATTCACCAGGTGTGCATATGAGGCTATCCATTTGTCTGGTAGAGATGGATTGAGGGATTTAATTTACAAATCATTGCTTCATTAAACAATCTGTTATCTTGAAAAGCCAGATCTCCCTTGCATTTTGGGACACTAAAAAACTTCGAATCTCTCCAATGTATGCCTTTCTGCTGATCCTCTCCCTTGCTCCGCCAAAAAATGGCGCACAGATTGGAGATTTCTTTGCACAGTGCTATAGGAAGTTTGAAGCAAGACATTGCAAATATAGGAATAGCATTAATCACTGCTTTTATTAGGACCTCCTTCCCGGTAGTAGAAAGTCATCTGTTCTTCCACTTTTGCAATTTGGTTTTAAGTGTCTCGACAATATAGACAAATGCTTCTTTCTTGGACCTTCCAATGCCCAATGGGAGCCCCAGATATCTAGTGGATTTGTGGATGGTAATCCCATGTAAAACCCCACAGATGTTATGCTGAAGGTACTCCGGTGTGTTTATGCTAAAAAAGATTGCTGACTTGGCCAACTTCATTTTCTGTCCTGTAAATAATGTGTACCTTTCCAAGATATCAAGTAACACCATAGCCTGATCGATGTCCGCCTTACTAAAGAAAAGAGAGTCGTCTGCAACAAGAAAGTGAGTGATAGAAGGTCTTCCTCTTGACACTTGCCGCCTGAAAATTTGATTCCTGGAGATTTCATAAAGTTCAAATTTTATTTTACTAAGAAAAATACTATAATTTGCAAAGAACAAAGACACACATAGTCCATGCTGCAAAATATATCCTGAAACCAAAATATCCTCATATATGTTGATACTAGTGCGCCCTTGACTGTGGACGCATAGTTGGCCTGAGTTTAGTCGATAATACCCAGTTCAATCCCTTATTTTTTTGTTATTTTTTAATCTTAAGTCATGTCGACATAATTTAAAACTAAAAACAATTCACTTATAATTTTTTTTTT